AAGTGTTATATTCAAAACCTGGTAGGAAAAGGACATATCAGTGTGCTTACAATTGGAACTAAGACTCATATGCAAGTTCTTTTGTATGACTCTCCACTGGTTGTTCATGAGAACGAGGCAGGAAACCAGATGGTGATGGATTAGACCGTGCAGGCTGTAGGGTGATTGACTGTCAGTGGGGCACAGACACGAAAACCTGGCACATTTCCCTAGACCATTGCTCCTGAAAAGCCAAAGCCTTAAGCTTCTGGTGGACGGGGCAGGTCATGGTCCTGCATCTAGTACTTGCTGGCAAAGACCTATTGCTTCTTAGAGAAGGATGGAGGCTAAAATCTTATTCCCTTACAGTAGAGACAGGGAATCCTCTTGTCCTAGCATGTTGCATTGCAACAAAGCAGAAGTATACTACCCTTCCTCTCAACACACACCAAAGATTCATGTTCCATGAGAAGAAGGTGCAAGAACACCAAGAAATCACTGCCTTCCAAGCACAGGTGGGCAGAGCCTACCTAAGACGAGGTAAGCCAGAGAAATGGTGCATTCTGTGGTACCTACTGACCAATAGCCTCAGGATTAGATGGAATAAATATCATCATATTAGGTTTCTCCAGGATGACAAACTCAGCGGCCACATACCTTAGCAACTGCAATGTTGAAGATCGCAATGAACACTGCCCACTTTAAGAAATGCCTGGAAACACTCACTAGTGTGAAATTTGGCACAAATTTGGCCTGATGTTAGAATTGGAATTTTGTCTGGAACAGTGAGATAACCCCTTTCATAACAAAGTGAGTGGTAAGTCAAGTGCCCTGGTGGGTTTGCACTGTTCCTGAAGACAACACCCACACACGTTGCACCAGAAATTTCTCCACCAGAGACGGTGCTGAGGCTTCTTTCCACGTGCCATCCCCTCAAGTTTCTGTGTAGCATGGAAGATTTCTGCATCAGTCAGATTTTCCATCCCTTTTCATCCCAGTGTTCAAATGTGTAGATGTCTGGCCACAGACTTCTTACCTGCTTCAGAATGAGCTTCCATGCTTGGAACCGGAACAACAGTGGGAGTCTCTAGGACACCTGATTCTGTTTCTGAGCATTGTATCAGGTTGCAGTACTCCCACCTCACACATGGATCAGTCGTGTAACACCAGGGTTGTTTCCCAGAATCTGGATTCCTACAGTAGTTCCTGGTCAGGCCACTGCAAATTCCAAAACAACACAGGTCACAAGAGGTGGGAAAAAATTCAAGGGGCACCCAGCACTGTCTAAACTTTGTTATAACAAAGTGTTAAAAAGTGACATTGTAATATTCCCATTTTAGGTACAATAATATTCTCAAAAGCAAAAACGGTCCTCAAGTTCTAAAGAACCATGTAAATTTCCAAGATAGATTATAATTTGTATTTTAAAATATCAAAATTGGTCTATGATCCATATAAATACTGAGATCATACATAAACGTATACAAGAAAAATTCAGAATATCTTCCTCCTTCCAACTGCATTCCTTCAGAATAAATGACACAGATTTTGAAGAGTGCATTTTAGATTTTTTTTTTTTTTTTTTTTTTTTTTTTTTTTTTTTTGAGATGGAGTCTCACTCTGCAGCTCAGGTTGGAGTACAGTGGCACAATCTCGGCTCACTGCAAGCTCCGCCTCCCGGGTTCACGCCATTATCCTGCCTGAACCTCCCAAGTAGCTGGGACTACAGGCTTCCGCAACCATGCCCGGCTAATTTTTTGTATTTTTAGTAGAGACAGGGTTTCATCATGTTAGCCAGGACGATCTCGATCTCCTGACCTTGTGATCCGCCTGCCTAGGCCTCCCAAAGTGCTGGGATTACAGGCATGAGCCACTGCGCCTGGCCTTAGATTTTTTTAATGCACATAAAAATGTATTGATATCTGTCTCGTTCTCTGTACCTCTCTCTAGGACTCTGCAGTAACATGTAAATTGGAACTAATATATATTACTTCATGGAAGAAATGACATCCAACATGATACCATTCCCAGGCCAGCCCCTTTATGTACTCACAGTGTAGCTAAAAGGCACTGCTTTTACAGTGAAAAGCAATTATGAAAATAGTATTACTGTAAATAACAAATCAGGTAGATCAAGTGCGTTTGGGTTTACAAGACTTATGAAACCTGCCCTAAAAAACTAGCTCCCAGAGAGGATGCCGTTTCTCTAGGATGGGTTCCTGGGCAGGACCTCCTCTCCTGCTCTCAGTTCATCCTCTGCTGGCCGCAGCCGCTCCAGAACTGAGGGAATGGAGGATGAGGAGAAAGAACAGTGGGACCCAAGGCATAAAGGTCGTCGGCTGGGTAGACTATGGGATCTGAAGAGGTCGAGTGGCTACAGAGGAGTCAGAAAACAATGGAGTAAGAGGCACAGAAGGCAAGGATCCCGGGGTGGAGGGATCTTAGAGAATGTACTCCCACTCATGCCTCCTAGGAACGTTGACCCAACTTGTCAGAATCCTCAGATTAATAACCTGCAGCTCTCCGAGAAAACTTGCAACCTCTTATGCACCATGGGAAAGTTTAGAGGCTCTATGCATGTGACTTAGTCTCAAGCCTAGACTCCCATTTGAGGAAGCTGGTTCTCCAAGCAACTGGATGTGCTAAAAGGCTGAAGGTTTAAAAGAAATTCCTGCTCTTTTTACAGTTGAGGTATACTTTCCCATAGAGTGAGATGCACACATCTGTAATGTTGTTTGTTTGATGAGTTTGGATCAACACCTATACCTGTGGAACCCAAACTCCCATCACCACACAGAACATTTCTGTGACCCCAGAAACTCTCTCGAGTCCCTACCCAATTAATCTCTGCTACCCCCTTGCCACTGCCAGAGGCAAATACATTGGTTTCTTTCACCAGAAATTAGTTTTTCCTCTTTTGGAGCCTCATGTAAATGAACTCATACAGAATATACATGGCTTCTTTCCTGAGTGTATTTTTGAGTTCCATCCATGCTATTTGAGAGAATCAGTGCTGAATAGTATTCATGTGTACCAGTAGGTTGCAAATTATTTTTTCATTTTGTTATTGATGAACATTGAAGTTATTTTTACAGTTTGGATTATAATAAGTAAGGCTGCTATAAATATTCATATACAACTCTTTGTGGACTTATTTTTTCATTTCCTTGGGGTAAATATTCAGGAATAGAGGTGCAGGTTTGTAAGATAGATGCATATTGATGGAACTTTATAAGAAACCATCTGACTGATTTTTTAATTTGTTGTATCATTTTGATCTTCCACCAGCATATGGTAAGAGTTTTATAATCTAGCTCCACATCAGTGACACCATTTATTGTTGTGTCTTCTTAATGATATCCATATCTATTGGGTGTTTGGTGATGTCTAATGATGGTTGTAATTCTTGATTTTTGATGGCTGAGATATTGAGCACTTCTTCAGGTAATTATTGGCTATGTGTCCATTCTTCCCTGTGAAATGCCTACTCGGTCTGTTGCCCATTTTGATCAGGTTGCTTGTCCTCTGATTAGTGAGTGGGAGAAATGTTTCTATACTATGGATACAAGCCATTTGTCAGATATACCGATTGAGAGGATTTTCTTCCAGTGTGTTACTTGCCTATTTACTTTCTTAACAGTGATATTGGATGAACTTAAGATTTCATTTTATGAAATCCCAAATTATAACTGGTTTTTCTTTATAGATAGGGTTTTCTGGGTCCAGCCTCAATAATTTTGCCTTCCCCTAAGTTGTAAAGGTTAGTTCTTTTGTAGAAGTTTTTTTTTTTTTTTTTTTTTTTTTTAAATTTCAGCTGCAGTGTTGCTCTTATATGTAGGTCTAAGAACTATTTGAAATTAATTTGAACTAGAAAGCAGAAGTCAAGGCCAGGTTTTGTTTTATTTTCTGTGTGGATAGCTACAGATAGCTAAAACAATAGTTTTGGAAATAATTTATTTCTCCATTGAATTTCTTTGCCAGGTATATTGAAAATCAATTGAATGTGTATATGTGGGTCTGCTTCTAAATCATCTTTTTTATGTTTGTATGCTTTTTTGCTAATATTATGTGTCTTTTTTCTATTTTGAGAGAGAGAGAGAAAGAGGATCTTGCTTTGTCAACCAGACTGGAGATCAGCAGCATGATCTCGGCTCACTTCAGCATCAACCTCCTGGGCTCAAGCGATCCTCCCACCTCAGCCTCCCTAATAGCTGAGACTACAGGTTCATGGCACCACACTTACTAGTTCTTTTTAAAATATTTTTTGTAGACACAGGCTCTTGCTATATTGCCCAGGCTGGTCTAGAACTCCTGGACTCAAGTGCTCCTCCTGCTTCAGACTCCCAGAGTGATGGAATTACAGGCAAGACACATGGCCTCTGGCCAATATCACATGTCTTCATTATTGTCCCTTTAGAAATCTTTAAATTGTGTTATAAAAGTTCTCCAACTTTTTTTCTTCTTTTTAAAGATTGTCTTTGTGGTTCTAACATATAAATGTTATCACTTTAAAAATACATATATATATTAGTGATGGAATTCTGATTAGATGTGGGTCGAATCCAAAGATCAATTTAACGAGAAGTGATACTGAGTCTTTTAATCTGAAAGCATGGCATATATACGTACACACACACATATATGTACACACACACACACATATATATATATATTTTTTTTTTCGAGGCGGAGTTTTGCTCTTGTTGTCCAGGCTGCAGTTGCTCAATGGTGCGATCTCGGCTCACTATAACCTCCACCTCCTGGGTTCAGGTGATTCTTCTGCCTCAGCCTCCCCAGTAGCTGGGATTACAAGCATGTGCCACCACACCCAGCTAATTTTTGCATTTTTAGTAGAAACAGGGTTTCACCATGTTGGTCAGGCTGGTCTTGAACTCCTGACCTCAGGTGATCCATCCACCCCAGCCTCCCAAAGTGCTGAGATTACAGGCATGAGCCACCAGTCCCAGCCACATGGTATATCTTTATTTAGATCTTTTATTTGTTTTCCTCAACATTGTTTTGTAGTATGCAGGGTATCATTCTTGGGTATTTTGTATTACATTTATTGATTAATTTTTTGGTTTTAATACTAGTTTATGGTTTTAATACCAGTTCCTATTAGGTATTATTTTTCTTCTACCCACATAGCATTCTTTAACATCTTTTATTATAGAAGTCTTATGCTGAAAGAGTCTTCTACTTTTGCAGGGTCTTTTTCTTTTGTGGGGAGATAATAGGTGCTTATATAGCATACATGTTTAAGAATTTTTTTTTTTTTTTTTGCAAACATAGCATACTAGGTTGATTGTGGTTTTTTCTTTTTTATTATCTTATTTTTTTCCGTAAGTTATTGGGTTACAGGTAGTATTTGGTTACACGAGTAAGTTCTTTTTTGTTTTTATTTTTTGAGATGGAGTCTTGCTCTGTCGCCCAGGCTGGTGTGCAGAGGCACGATCTCGGCTCACTGCAAGATAAGTAAGTTCTTTAGTGGAGATTTGTGAGATCCTGGTGCACCCATCACCTGAGCAGTACACACTGCACCATATTTGTTGTCTTCTATCCTTCGCACCCCTCCTACTTTTCCCCTAAGTCCTCAAAGTCCATTGAATCATCTTTATGCCTTTGCATCCTCATAACTTAGCTCCCACATATTAGTGAGAACAAACGAT